CAGTACTCAAAGTGTGTGGACATAGTTATTAAAGTAGCTGAAAGGGCCCTGAGTTGGGCACTGATTTAGTCCCTGACAAACATCGATTTAAACTTAGATTTTTCTACTTTTTATGTTTTTATTTTTTACATCAGGTTCAGACAGGATAACGTAACTGGGAAATTACTTTACTGTAGCAATTGGCCAGTTCTTTTCATCAATGGGGTCTATTAATTCTGTTAATCCAAGATTCAAGGTTTTGGGTATGGACTGTTTTACCCAACTTTGCCTAAATCACTCCATGCTGAGTAGACACAGATGTAAATCTGATCAACACTTGGAACCACTTATCATTAAGATTTTTGACCTTTCAGGTGAATGTATATGTATGAAGAGAATGTGGGAGGCATTGTGACTGATAGTACAGAAAGGATATGTATAAATAGTCCTTCTGGTGAGAAAAAGGCTTCTTTTGTCAAATTCAACCTCTTATTTTGAAGTAATTGTAGATTCATTTGCACTTGTAAGAAATAACTCAAGGGGATCCCGTTTACCTTTGACCCAGCTTACCCCAATGGTAACAAGTAAAACCAGCAGCTGTCACACCAGAATACCGACATGGATCCAGGCAAGCTCCAGACACTTCCATCACCATGAAAATCCCTCATGATGCCTTTTAATAACCACACTCACTTCCATCTGGAACCCACCTTAACATGTGTAACCATGATTCTGTTCTCCATTTCTATCTTTCATCATTTCCAGAATTTGGGAACTTTTAAACCATTATGTATTCAAGTAGTTTTTTTTAGTTCTTCCTTTTTCTCCTCTCTTTCAGGGACTGTGATGACACAAATGTTAGATCTTTTATTATAGTCCCACATGTCTCTGAGGCTCTGTCACTTTTTTTTAGTCTATTTTCTCCTTGTTATTCAGCTTGGGTAATATCTGTTGTTCTATCTTCCAATCCACTGATTCTCTCCTCTGTCTCTTTTGTCCATTGTTCAGCCCATCCACTGCGCTCTTCTATTTCAGTTATTATAATTTTCAGTGCTGAAATTCCCATTTGGTTCTTTTTCATACCTTTTTTCTTTGCTGAGGCTTTCTGTTTTTACAAATTATTATTAATAACAGTTTTGTAATTGTTTGGTGAAGCATTTTTTGCCTCATGGCTACTTTAAAATCTTTGATAATTCTGAAATCCCCGACATCTTGGTCATCTTGGTTGTTGGCATCTGTTGATTGTCTTTTCTCATTTAGTTTGAAATCTTCCTGGATCTTGGTATGATGAGTGACTTTTTTTATTGAAACCTAAACATTTTCATATTATTTTATGAGACTGTGGGTCTTATTTAAAGCATGTATTTTAATTATGCCAACTTACAACTGCTAGGGACAAGTAGAAGTCCAGGTTTTCTGCTTTACATCTGCTGACATGGGAGGTGATAGGCTCCACCTTACTGCTGGTTCCCCACTTGGTCTCCATTGTTGCTGTGGTAAGGGTGTTTCTACGATCCTGACTGATATTAGGTTGGCCAAACAATTCATTTGTTTTTTTCCATAAGATGGCTCTAGTAACGCTTAGTTGTCTTTATCTTCATTTGGAACAATTTTGTTAGATTGTATTGTGACAACTATCATATCAGTATACATTTAAAAAAACATCAAAATTAGTGAATTTTTGTGTATCAATTTTAATATTGAAGGTGGGAAAAAATAAGCAACATTTTCAGCCTATTATGCTTTATTATGTGAAGAAAGGTAAAACCGCAACTGGAACGCAAAAAGATATTTGTGCAGTGTATGGGGAAGGTGCTAGAGCTGATGAATTATGTCAAAAGAGGTTTGCGAAGTTTCGTGCCAGAGATTTCTCTCTGGACAATGCTCCAAGGTCAGGTAGGCCAGTTGAAGTGAATAGTGATCAAATTGAAACTTTAATTGAGAACAATCAACATTCTACCATGTGGGAGATAGCCAACATACTCAAAATATCCAGATCATTAAAGTCACTGGTGAAAATGAAAAATGTGACTTTTATTTTATGGAATAAACTACTGCCTCTTCACTAGGCCTCCTCTGATGCCAGCCTAGCAGGGAGGGGGAGAGACACTTGCTTACTTTCCTATTGCCAGGGCAGGTGGGTTTGGAATTGGGTCAGGCTGATCATGGGCCCTCATTCGCCCAGAACGCTGGCCACAATGACCACAATTAGCAAGCTCCTACAGGAACCTGCAGTTAGAATTTGGATGAAACAATTTCCCAAAAGACAGGAACTGGTGCTCCCAGAACAAGAAGGAGAAGGTACTGGGTGGAGAAAAACAACAATTGCTTAATACATTATTATTCAGTTTTGGGATGACTTAGAATGTTTACTAATTATTGATCTCTCCAGGGACTGCAGCCTTTTACAAAGGGTAGAACGAGAAAGTGGAATAACATTCAAATCATTTAATGACTTTGTTCAACATTCATTCATTCTGCAAGTATTGAGTGACAACTGTGCTAAGAATTGTGCTAGATATTGGGAACACATTGGTGAAAAATATATCATCCTTTTCTCAAGAAGCTTGCAAATCTGTATTGAAAGTTGAAGGGTTAGGTTTGGAAGCTGGGTAAAAAGACTGGAATTTAATTAGTTAAAATCATCTATTTGTACAATATCTTAATACTAAAATTAAAACATCAATACACCTTTATTTTAAAAAGGAATAGTGTTTTTCTTTCTTTTTGCTTATCCATGCTTTTTACCCAAGCATTTACAGTGATTATGACAACATGTATTTATATTTTATAATCGGAAGTTCTAAGTTAAGTTCCCTTTTGTATTTTGTTTTAAACTAGAATTTTTAAAACTGGTTTGCCATTATCTCCTTTTATGGCAAGCAATTGAGTCTCGAAAATCTTAGCAGACTTTATTTTAAAATTTTTTTAACTTTACTTTTATTGTTGCCACTATTACAGATGCTCCCTTATTTGCACACTACAGACTTTAATTTCAAAGGTGATAAATTTAGTTATTCACTACAATTTCCTTTTCACCATTAGCTTTGCTTTGATATTAGAGATCCTGGAAGATGACTCAACCCTCCCCAAAAGGAAACAGCAACCCCAAGATGGATAATGCCGAGGTCAAGAAAGGTGGTGGAGTTGGAAGGAGAGGGTCTGAGAACCTCAGTCCATCAGACATTAACCAACTGAGTGACTCTTTATACAGTTTGAGCCTGTTTTTTCTCCTGCCAGTTTCCTGATTCGTAGACCACCAACCAAAAGCATCAGGGAGATAATATACAAATGAGCAAGCAGTCAACACTACCCCAAATGTCAAGGTGAGTTCCATTGTCCACTGCTCCATGAGGGGCTGCTCAACTGAGTAAGCCTCCTTAAATGGTGACAGAAAATCACAAGGATCAGATGAGTGGAAACCCCCTTTGGATGAAGATAATGTAGACATTGTCTCATTCCTAGTTTGGGTTTACACTTTCAGGTGGAATCTTTGAGAACTCATTTATCTCTCCCAAATTTGTGACACTTGTATCTCCTATTTAGGGCCCATACCACAAGATTTTAATTTAAGCACATATTGTTGGTCAGACAGTGAATTAGATTTTAGATATGAAAAGATAAATTACAATTCAGTTCTTAATCTCTTTGTACTGGCACGGGTTGAAATGTTAGCAGTGCAACACAAAATTATTTCATCCTGTCCTTGACAATGGTAAATTTTTTTATTTTTTTATTTTAATATATGACTTACCCTGCACAAGAAATCTTGGTTTAAATTTTTGATACATGATGTTTTATCTTGAAACTCGCACCAATTAAAGGAAGTTATACAAATAGAATCTGTAGGAAGTCAAACACGACCAATCTCCGCATATGATTGCAAGCCTTTTAAGAAACAATTAATTACAAAAATCCTGGTTCTGCATGCAGTTATTATATATGCTTATATATTATATACGTATAAGTATCATTCTATATGTTTAATTCAAAACATCTAACACCTCTAAGGAGAAACTGCTGTGTGCTTGCCTCAATACAAAGATATTTGCCCTGGGAATGTCTGGATCTTTACTAAGATGTAATGTTATAAAATTCTAAGTATTTACATGGAAAGGAAATAAAACATTAAGAAGAATTTTCTTTTTCCATTTAACGGAGGGAACACCACAGGGCCATTTTAAGGCTCTAGAAGTACCATATAAATCTCCAAAAGAGGTAGTAATGTATTAAACAAAGGGTACACCACAAGAAAAAAAAATCATACAACCAGGGAGAAAATACACTTCCTGGCTGGGAAGCTCTTAAAAGTTCTGAGCCAGGAAACCTCCCGCACCAGGGCGGGGAAAGTCTCCAGAGATTCTCTGCTAATTTCCCCTCAAGTTTTCCCTCCCTCTCTCCTCCATTCTCCGCCTCGGTTCCCAAACATGGGACCACAAGAGAATGCCAGTATATATACCTGAAATTCCCAGACACAATGAGACTCTGAGGCATGTTTATTTTAAACGCCCCCACACCTAAACTAGGCCATATTTGCAGGCAAAGCCAAGGGATTTCAAACGACGCCTGGAAGCTCATCTTACAAATTGGGGGCCAAGCCCGTAAAAGAACAATAGTAAAATGCAGCCAAGAGCACGTTCCTTCGCTCAGAGTGGTTCGCGGGTGGCGCGAGGGCCTGCGCGGAGGCTGGGGCCGGGAGCCAGAGCCCCGAAAAGGAGCGCTGCCCCTTTAAAAGGCCGCGCATCACCGGGCCGGCCTTCCTCCCCGGGGCTCCAGCTGTGATTGACGCTGGGAGGCGAGAGGAGGCGCCTGGCGCTAACAAAAGTCCGGCCCGCGGGCGAGCTGCGCCGGGCCGCTAGTCTCTGCTCTGTCGGGACACCCGCAACAAGTGGCCGCCGCGCCCATCCCCGGGGAAGCCGCGGGCGCGCAAGGGCGCCGGGAAGAGGTGGCCGAGCCGGGGAGTCCCGGCCACCCGCGCGGCTCAGCGCCCACCGCAGGGGGATCGGGGCGGGCGGATGGGGACCCGGCGGCGGCGGCGCGGCGAGCCTCTGGGCGGCCCCGGGGCGCGGGCTCTCCGCGGCACTGCGCCCGCCGGCCGTGAACGCGGATTCTGAGAGCGGTGGCTGCCCCCAACCTCACCCGGAGCCATCGGGGGTGCCAGGAGGGAACCGAGCACCCCCTCCCACCGGAGTGCAGGGGACGCTCCCGGCTGGACATCGTCCCTCGAGCGTGGGGTATGCAAAGCTAACGGTCCCGTCGGGCAGGCTTTCCTCGGGCGGAGCGCGCAGCGGTGCGCCCCAGCTATGGAGTGTCCCAAGAGACGGCGGGCATGACGGCAGCAGGATGGGCGCGAACAATGGCAAACAGTACGGCAGTGAGGGTGAGTGGGCCGCCAGTCCTCACATTCCGGGATCGCGCCCCCCTCCCTTCCCCTCGCCCTCCGGTCTGGAGAGGAAGGTTCTTGCCCGCTGCGGTGGCGCACACCCATTTGGCAAGCTGTCCGGGCCGTCACCTCCCCTCTGGCACTGAGTGCTCAGGCGCTCCGAGGATGCTTTCCCACCTTGGGGGACCCTTTAAGCAACTTCCCAGGTTGTCCTTGGGACGGTTCAAGTTGCACTGCTGCTGTGTTTCTGAACGCATGTGCCTCAACTTTCCCACCCTGGGCATCTGGGCTTTAGGATGATGGTTTGGCAGATGGCGGAAGACGTTTTTCCAGAATAACAGTGAAAACTTTCTCAGGCCTTTGTGCTCCAGTCCCCTGTGCTCTCCTGTAGCAGGAAAAACTTCTGGAAGAAGTAGTTAAGTTTCCATTCTCTCTGCCCGCTGCCCCTGGGCTGACAGCTCCATGAAACTGACCATCTATGGGCCCCACGAGGGAGCAGTGGCTGGGGGCTTTGTCTGGGCTCTCACGGGGCTAACGACGGGCAAAGGACCATCTGTTCCATGGGGCTGGAAATTGCACAGAAATATTGCCTGTCAAGTGGGAACTTGGAAGTTGGAGAAACTTTAAACTCCACCTCCTCCTAAAAGGATGATGGATGTGTGGGTTGGCTTCCCCCTCGCCCCTCCTCCCCCTCTTTGCATGAAACCTTAGTGTTGTCACCCCATTGATTAACAGCACGCCCCTGATATGCATATGGCAAAGGCATTTTCGTAGTTCAAAAGTTAGGAAGGTTGGTCTCTCGTGAACTTGGCTGGAGGGGCGTGGAAGAGACAGGGTCGGTTTTACAGCCCGCCCCCAGAGGACAGGCGGTTACAAACCGGGTCCAGCGCCTGCAGACGGGTAGGAATGCAGAATGGCTATTCAGCATGTGGTGTTTGGGAAACTCCTATCATCCTACTCAAAACTTTGAGCTGTGGCCACAGAATGTGGATGCCTCTCTCCTTGTTTGCGGCTGTGCTCGTCCTCAGCAGCTTTGTGAAATTAGAGCAGGAACCGATCCTAAAAAACCATATCCACAGAACCTTTTGTTTAAATCATTCTCTCCCAGAACATCATGTTTTGAATTCCACATGTATGTGATATACATATATTTCCTTATTCTGGGCAGTGATGGGAGAGAGGGGTGTGTGTGTGTGTGTGTGTGTGATGATTGTCATTTTTAAAAAGCTAAAATGTTGTCTTTTTAGATAGCAAATGTGAAAGTATGCCAGAAAAGATTATGGGAGAATCTTAGTCACTCCCGCAAACTTCTTGGAATTCGTGTTTTAAAAATTTGTTGAAAAATGGAAGAGTAAGCCTTCCTACTCTGAGTTATTAAAAAGCTTTCAGGGATTGAAGTGTGTGCTTGACAATTCCGGGTGTGCCTACCTCTTGTCCCTTGAATACTGTGTGGGGAAAGGACACCCTTGGAAGTGCGCAGAGCTGGTGCTCTGTGTTCCTGAACAAACCCCCTGCACACTCCCCCCTAATCCTCTGCAACTTGTTCTTATATCCCAGCGTTCTCGTATTGTACAGTGTGTGGTGTATGACGACTTCCTGTCTGAACAGTGGAGTTTTCAACCCTTGGGAGAGAAAAGGAGAGACAGAGAACTAATGTTCTCCAGCTGTTATCCGTAAATGCTACCTCTGCATTTTCACTTCAACTGAAGCGAACTTTTACTGGGATCAGATTGAGATACACTGTGGACGTTTTATAGGAAAAACCTCTTGGGCTCAGCTGACTCAAGGGGACCAATAGGAAGGTTGGGGAGATTAACAAAGTTTTGGCTGGAGAGGACATATTGTGCTTAGTTTGCATCAACTCTCTTCAAATGCATGGGGACTCCTCTGATTGATAGGCAAAGATAGAGAAATAGGAGTGACAAACTTAAAGACAAATCTTTTCTCTCCCAGCTACACTGGGGTCTCTCCTAAATAAGGTTAGGACACATGTGAGTGGGTATGGTCAATTTTGTTACACTGTGTTAATGGAAGGTAAAATCTCTGCAGATTTTCCTGTTGGGATTGGCTGTGTCATTGCTGTCTTATTGATCTAAAATGTTGAATCTCAAAGCAAGTGAAAGCAACCCCTAGACATAGTATCTCTGTTATCACAGGAGGCAGAATTAAGTTTTAGTAGATTTAGTGCAATGTAGGCAGGGTATATTTCAAACCTAAAGGGGAAATTATCAATAAATGTATATCCATAAGGATGCAGTGAGATGTACCAGCATTAAAAATCTGCAATTTTATTATAATTTACAGCTGACACCACAATGTAAATGTGAACCCCCTTAAATTTTACCAAAAGTGTTGTTATTCGAATGTTTAAAACTTCAGCATTTCCTATGTAACCTTGCTCCTGGAAAACATCTCTTTTTAAATTAAAACAACAAAAATTTTACTCTCAGACTTACCTGAGCAGGTGAAATGGGGCAGACTTGCTACCCAGGGTAACCCAGTGGCCTCGGCACCACTTGGGACCTGTCAGAAGTGCAGAATCTTGGGTCCCTCCTGAAACTACTGAATCATTTATCACATGCACTTTGGAGTTTGGGGAAATTCGTGCGTAGAGAGCAGCGCGTCGACTTGGGAGCCTGGAAATTTGATTCCAGCTTCAAGTCAGCTACTGTGACCTTGCTCAGTTCCCTGACACCTTGGAGTCTTCTCTAGAGTGAGGAGAGAAATTCCTTTTTGGCCTGATTTGTCATGATCTAATCCTTGAGCATGTAGTCATTCATTTTATTTTACTCTTAAGGGACAATTTATGGGAGGAGATTAGTCCTGTGGGGAGACATGTTATAGTAAATAGGAAAGTTAAGTCACTGATTGCCAGAAAATCAGTAAATGCCCCTGTAGCTTTGGTTATTCTGTTTACCCCTCGCCTCTATCTTCCTCACTCATTCTCACCTCTGTCCCTCGCTTAATCAGTTATGAAACCCCTGCTTTTCTACCTGTAAATCAATAGGAAGTGTTTCCAAAGTGTTTTGTTTTCCTAAATACTTAGTGAACATTTAGGTTAATGATTTAAAGTTTGCAACTTTTCAGCAAACTAGGATTTTGCTCCAGGAAAAAGTTACCTTAACATTCCTGATCATTAGCTTTGTAGAGTATGTTGAAGCAAATTTTTTAACAGAGGGCTGCTTTTTTTTTTTTTTTTTGCTTTATCTTTTTTCAGAAAGTGTGAGTTTCAGCCCCTGTTAAGCCAAATAAACTAATCTCTCCCTTCAAGTAGGAAGAGAGGAGCTGCCTTCCCTGCCTTTTAAGGTTTCTGAGCCTCACCCTCACTTACTCATTGGTTTCATTGTTATGTTTATTCTATTCTAGCAGGTCTGAGCCGGTGTACTTACACTGTTAACAGCTCCTTTGCAAAATCCATGTGTTACTGAATTGCAGCTGAAGAGGCCACAGTGATGGGCTTTGACCCTTGGTAGCTCTGCTTCTCTCTCAAGAGCCTTGGGTCCCCTTTCACAATCACAGATCTGCAATGCCAGATATGAGGAGAGCCAGTTGCCTGAGTGCATAACTCATCACAAATCTATCACCACCTTGGGAAACATATCTTGAAATAATAACAATGATGGCAGCTAGCATTTATTAAAAGCTTACTATATCCAAGCATGATTCTAACCCTTGTCACGCACTGACTCACGTAATCCACGTGAGGATCCCACAGGGCAGGCACTCCTAAGGGCCCCATTTGACAGATGGGGAGACACTGCTGCAGAGGGGATGGTCATTTCCCAGGGTCCTACAGCTAAGTGTAGGTGCAGTTGGGACTCAGGGCCAAGTCAATCTAAGCCCAGAGTCCTTTATTCATTCATCTAATACATGCTGATATATTTCCTATTATGTCCTGGGAATTCTTCTAGATTCTTGGGATATACTAGTAAACAGATAAAGATCCTGTTCTCTTCAGTCATATCTGTGTGTGTGTGTGTGTGTGTGTGTGTGTGTGTGTGTGTGTGTGTAGGAAGGGGAAGTAAAATGTTAATCATCTTAACAATAACCCACAACCTTCAGACCAACTCAGGAAGTAAAATGATTAACGTGTGCATGCGCGCACATACACACAGAATAACTCAGTAAACCATGTGATACATTCCAAGTGGCAACATTTTCTGAATAAAAAAATCAAGTGAAGATTTTTGGGAGTCGGGAGGAAAAGGGTTTTGCGATTTTAATTCAATCGGTCATCATAGGCCTTATTGAAAAGTTGACATGCAGACTAAGACTTAATGGATTTGAAGGACTGATTTTTATGGATCTGGGGAGCCTGGTAGCTGTTATTGTCAGCCACTGTGTTATACCAAGGTGAACACACTTTATGCTGGAGGGCATAAATCATCATTTTATGCAAGGGCAGTATCATCAGCCTTCTATAGTCAACTGCAATGGGACAAGGTCAGTCTGGCCACTGGGTGTGTTTGTGTATTTGCCTAGAGCCTTTGCAAATATGTTTTATCCAATTATATGAGATATATTGTTACTGCTTTTGGGGAGCGGGAAGAGGGGGACTAGGGCAAGCTCTTCTTGCTGTGATGGGTAGATGTTGTTTGATTTACTGTTGATACCTCCAAAGGTCTCTGTAATTCTTATCTAGAAGTATGTCTTTGTCTCTTGTCTTCAATAAATAATTTTATTCTGATGAAAAGTAGAAGATAAGTGATACTGATTCCACTGTTCCGTTCAAATCAAAGCACTGGTGTGGCTAACGATACCATCTCTGGTCTGACAATGAAAAGATATTTTCAGAGATTTGAGGAATCCTTTTGCACGTTTAAAACAAGAGAAAGAAAAGAGGTAATTTTTCCTTCCCATTGGGGATTAACTCACAGAAACTTTGTTTTCACTTCTTCTGCCCTTTGAAACAGAGTAAACTCTGGCTTGAGTTTGAGTAATTGAGAATCACTTTTGCCCTTACCTGTTAGTGTCTTAAAAACAGCCTAAAGAACTTT